CGAGGCGTTTCGAACGAGCCATGTATTATAACCATGCGCCTTCAGTCTCCGATTCCTTCCTCCATAATACTTCTTGGCCTCAACGGTGACATCTTTTACGCTGAACAGCCTAGAACGTGTTTCCATCGTGGTCGTGATGGGCACCAGGCGACAGGTTGCCATGCAAATGGTGCGGCTCCCTTGACCTTGTTCCCTGAAGAAGACTTTTCCCTGCTGGTGAACGTGCAGGCATCTGTGTGTGGTGATGTGGCGGATGTCACTGTCGTCCGTGTGCTCCCAGGTTGTTGGTGATGTCCTGGCCATGGATCGTGTGGTCCCGTCTGTGACGTACCAGCATGCGCCTCCCCGTGGCCTTTTTCCTCTGGCGGTTTCTTTGGTGGATGGGGGAAGTGGTGCTGCCTTGTATTTCAGATGACGTGCCTGTTCCCATTGCGTCGTGTGTGGTGGTGCATGGTCTGATGCCTCCGCATGTTGCTCCGGGGAAAGTCTTGCATGGCTTTGCGGAGCGTGCCTGTGAGCTGTCACACTATGGTTCTCCTGGCTCGCCTGTGTAGGTCGTGAAGGCGTTGGAGGACTTTGATAATATGCGGCCAGTTTCGAAACAATCTCGTGTGGCTCACAATGCGTCCCCTTGCCCTGCTCATGCTTCATATGCTGATGTGGGTGATTTTGTCAGTTAGCTGTCTTCCTTGAGTTCTGATGCGGATGATGTGGGTGATGCTGTTGGGGTGCCTGTGACTCCTGTAGGCCGTGTTGCGGCGGTGTCGGGTCCTGTAGTGGACTCAATGCCTAGCTGTTCTTGTGTCTTCTCTGGCTGCCTCTGCATCCCCGATAGCTGGTTTCCCCCTGGGCTGTGGCCCCAGCTGTGGATTCTTCTTAAAATCCTATTCAAGAAGGATTCTGTTTTGGCAGCCCCCATGCCACTGGCCTCTCTGACCATGCCCTCAGGGAGGGCGTGGTCAGGGAGGTCAGCGCGTCTGCCCTCCGTGCTCAGAAAGTGCTGGAAGACACCCCGTCCTACAGAATGTGTATGCAACTCCGTGCGTCTGCCCCCTGTGCAGCCAGCCTCTGCGCAGTTGCCCTCTGTTCTCTAGATCTTCGTCCTCTGTGCCTTCCGCTTCCGTGATTCTGCCTCTCCAGCCTGTGTCATCTGTATCTTCGGCCCATGTCGTCGAATCAGGTCCGGACGCCTCCCTAGATCGTCATTCCTGAATTTATGTGGTGCCCAATCCGCCCAACCAAGGAGGAGTCACCTCTTTGGGATTCTTACTGTTCTTGGTATCCTGTGCAACAGTTTCCAGAGAAGTATAAGTATCAGTAGAAACCAGTCAAGCGTGCGTGACCTCGTTCCCGGTCTATGCTGCTACCCTGTGTTGGAAGCTCCTGTGTTTGGTTTGGTTTTATTTACATTCTATTTTTTAGTACCTCTGTGTATTTTCGTTTGTGTATTATGTTGGTGTTTTATGATATTTTGATTTTATACTGTTCCTCTGTTGGGGAGCCTGACAGCTGAGTGGATTGTGCTCGGATTCGTAGTCGTGAGGTTCCGAGTTCGATCCCCGGTGGAGGGAGATAAAACTGGGTAGAGTTTCTTTTGCCCCTGTTACCTACCCGTAAATAGGTACCTGGGAGTTAGGAAGCTGCTATGGGTTACCTCCTGGAGGGGGGGGGGTGTAATAAAAAGGAGGCCGGGTCGAGGACTGGGCCGCAGGGACGCTAAGTCCTGAAAATCACTTCAAGATAACCTCAAGATTCTTGTGTTTGTACTGGTGACTGGACACTGGGATTACTTTGTATATATTGTGTATTTCCATAAATTAAAAAAAAATGTGGGTGACGTATCTGTGAACCAGGCAACAATATCGGACCACTTAGTGGGGGGGGGACGACGTATCTTGGGACCAAGCAACAATACAAAACGACTTGGGGGTGACATATATGTGGACCAGGCAACAATATCGACCACTTGGTATGGTGACGTTTCTGGGGACAAGGCAACAATATCGGACCATTTAGGGGTGACATATCTGTGGACCAGACAACAATATCGGACCACTTGGGGGGATGACGTATCTTGGGACCAGGCAACAATACAAGATCACTTGGTGGTGACGTATCTGGGGAAGGCATCATTATCGGACCACATGGGGGCGACGTATCTGGGGACCAGGCAACAATACCAAATCACTTGGGGGATGTCGGGGTGCTCGCCTAGCTCTTGGTGGAGGCGGACGCATCGCCTGTGAGCTCCTGTTTTGCTGGTCAGTGGTAGTTTGTGTTTGTGAGTGGGCCCTTTAGGCCGTGTCGGCTGGAGGGATGGCAGCCCCCCTCCTCCCTGTGAAGCTGAGGGTTACCATTGGCCTGGAATTCACTGGACCAGCGTCATACCCGGCTGTTGAAGTGGTCATGATTGATATGTTGCGAGTGAATGTAGCGTCTGTGTGCGCCGTTCAACTTGTATCTGGGCATCGAGCTGTTATGGAATTCAGCTCCACGGCTGTGTATCGTGACTTTGTGGACCGCTATGATGGGAAGATGTTTACTATGCCTGAGGGTGGTGGTTCAGTGGAAGTGTCGAACAGATGCAGTGAAACTACCTATGTGGGAGTTTATGGTGCTCCCTTCGAGTTCCCTGACTCAGTGGGTGAAGCGACTCCAGCGTTACTTCACCCGATATGGGCTGGTCTTGAGTGTCCATATGAATGCTGTCTCCTGTGGGTGGTGGACGAGTATCCCGAATGGGACCCACACAGTGGCGATGCAATTGAAGGACTCCATCCTTTCGTCTCTCCTGCTTCTGGGCTTCATGGTACACATATTCTATGTAGGTCAGCCCCGGACTTGTTTCCAGTGCGGGCTATCGGGCCACCAGGCTGGGGGTGTGGGGCAAGCCGGGTTGGCCCTCTGAATTTTTTTAGGGAGGAGGACTTTGCCCCGTTGGCAGTCCCGGACCTGTCACCAGGTGCTGCTGTTATGAATGATGCTTCCCGGTCGTCTGGTGCCCCGTTGCCATTCTCAAATGCCAGCCTACATGTGGCTGGGGATGTGAGTGTCGGGGTGGTAGTTAGTGCATCCCCGGCTCCCCGGCCTCAGCCATGGCCGACTGCCCCCATCTCCAGTCAAGTCTCCAGTTGTGTCTCCTGTGGTGTGTGGTCTAGTGCCCCCAGTCATCGAGGATGCTGCCCGGCCGTGCACTGTCTCCGGAAGATGTGTCTTCGGCCCATGTTGACGTGCATGCGGTGATGTCTCCCGCGGTGTGTGGTCCTCTTCCCCGGGTTGTTGAGGCTGTGTTGTAGAGTGATCGTGCACTCCGTGGAGTTGTGCGGCCGACCAGAGGTTCTACTGCGGTACCTCTTAGCGGGGGTGATAGTTCCGACGAACTGTATCCAAGCGATTTCGGCGAGCTTCGAGTCTGTCTCCGCCTCGTGGTGAGACCTCGGTCGACGTCAGGAATTTTTGTGACTCTGAGAGTTCGTTTTCTTTGGATGGTGATGTGGGCAATGATGTTGTGGTGCCTGCGGCTTCTGTGGGCTGCGCTGCGGTGGTGATGGGTCCTGTGGTGGGATTGTCATCTGATCCTGTGTCTTCTCCAGCTGCCTCTGCATCCCTGGTTGCTGGTTCCCCCGGGTTGGGCGGTTGTTGCGCCGGCCGCGGTTGCGGTAGAGGGAGGGGACTTGGTGATGGTTCTTAAGAAAGATTCTGTTCTTGCGACCCCCATGCCTCTAGCGTCTTTGTCTGTGCCCTCCGTGCGTCTGTCCTCAGTGCTGCCAACTGCTGCTCTGCTGCCCACTTCTCAGCCGCCCTTTGTTACTCCACCCCCTTGTGGTGTCAGCGTCTGTGTCATCGCCCTCTGTGATTTTGTCTCCTGCGACTGTGCCCATCGCCGGTGCAGCTGAGCTCTGTGACTTCTCTTCCCGTGACTTCCGCCTCCGTGGAGGGGGCGAAAGTACTTCATGTATCGACCGCGGGGATCGCGTAGTTTCGTTTCCTTGTCTGCAGAGGTGTGGGCTCGGTGGGATGCCTTCAGGAAGAAGTACCCTCGTCGTCTATTTCCGGATTAACTATGTGTGTGGTTCTTGATTTGTGTTGCTTTATTTACCTGTTTTGATGTGCTGTGAGATACGGTTAATTTAGTCAGTGTTTCTTGCCTGGTTATGTAGGGTTATAGTGCTCTGGTGCTTTCTCTTTTCAGACTGTGTTTAAATGTTACCTATGTTTAGGTTTCCATTTTATGTGTATTGTACGACTTTTGTTTGTGTGTTTGTTTTACTGCTCTTGAGTTTTGTTCATGTGTTTCTTGCCTTATAAATGTGAATGATGATGTTCATGCTTTTCAATTATGTAGTATTTGTGTTTACAAAATAAAAAGAAAAAAACATGGGGTGACATATCTGGGGGATCAGTAAAGATGATGGATAAAGGAGTCCTTCCCCTCTTATATTATAATAATATTTGAACTGACAATTCATCTTCAATATAGTTCACACTACTAAAGGAACTTTACAACTGGAAACTTATTATTTCTCCTTGGTATGGGAACCTTTTATAAGCATTTTAGTACAAGTAAAAGTTTTTACATTAGTGCTAAATATACTGTGAGTGTCTGTCTTGGGAGCACAAGTCTTCCTCTCATCCCTCTCTTCTCCATCTCTATGTTGTAACTAACAATAAGGTAAATGACGATAAATAATAAATTTTTAAACACTAAATAAACAAAATAAACATAACAGTGAAGGAGGTCAAGTAATGTTCGGTTAGTTATGGGGTTAAGTGGCCCTTGCCTGCATTGTTGATATTGTCAATGGCCACTTCTGGCGGCCGCATCTGGCCACTTGCATGTTATGGTCGTAGCGTCAAGAGTAACTAGCATCTTGGACCCCTGTTGACGAGTAGCCAATTACAAGCCATGAAGGAACTGTTGCTGCAGACTTTATTAACCAATGAGAAGCAGTGTGGTGAGTATAAAAGTGGGAGTTGGCGCCGAGGTGTGTCAGTTACCTCCTCACCTCAGTAAGTAAGACGCCCTATTATAGTGAAGGTTTGTGTTATTATGTTAAGTATTATTGCTAATAATTAAGTATTATTGGTAATAATTAAGTATTATTTGTAATAATTAAGTATTATTGGTAATAATTAAGTATTATTGGTAATAATTAAGTATTATTGGTAATAATTAAGTATTATTGGTAATAAGTAAGTATTATGGGTAATAAGTATTATGGTAGACGTTATATAGTTAAATGTTTCATAATATTTGTACGAATTGTTTCCTAGATTATCATCACATCCACACAGGTGACGTCCTGACAAAGTCAAATCTTTATCAATTGACTAGATTATGCACTTAATTAGTATAACATTACTAAACAAATCCATGGGATCTTATAGATGTAGGTAACTACGTGGATAATAACCTCTAAATTCATATCCTGCTAAACTGCTAACTTAATTTTATTAAGTTTTAAATATGAATATTTAGTTTTTAAGTTTGTCTAAAATTTTAAGTTATCTTTTGCTTCCGAAATGGCACTAAACTTTCCTTGCTCTTTGAGATTACTTGTGGAGAAGTGGTTTGGGTACTGTTAATGAAATTCATGCATTTCACTTGGAAGCTACTATAATTGTGACTTGCAAATGAAACTCCTAACTATCCATAACAAAGTTTTATTAATAACTTTGCTCAGTCATTACGTTCTACACTAGTCCTCACTATAGCAGTTAAAACCTTACTCTTCTTAGTTCGGAGAGGCGTCGTAAGTTGCAGACTAGTTTGAGTAACGGGTATTGCAAGGAAAAACTTAACAATACATTTGTAATTTAATGTACAACTTTCAGGTATACCACTCCTGTTCCTACTGATTTCGGTTAAACCTTGTATCTAAATTACATTAAATTTAAACTATAGGAATGACTTGGCTAAAGAATTATCTATTCCTCATGGCTCTTGTGAAGGATAACTACCCTTATCTTCACTAGATACCAGTCTACACAAATTTTATTAACGCTACTATAAATATTACCTATACCTATCTCTCCCTTGCATCCTTAACTTTGTATTAAAAACACTTGTGAATCCTTGCTTAGTACTTGACGAAACGCTCAAATTTTAATAAATTGTGCATAAAGAACAACTAATCCGTCAACACCTTGCCTTCCATTCAATTATCATACAACAATTTTCCGGTGGTCCTGCCAGTGGGATCACAACTCGCCTCCAGTGAGGTATACTCTGCCTTAAACGTGTTCTTGTAATTTCACACACCGGAGACCAGGTGTGTAACATTTATTGTACTACTAATAGTGCTGAACCTGTCAATGAACTTCTTGATGAAATGGCTGACTCACCGTTTACGTTAGCCTTCAATAAAAGGTAATTACTTTAAACATTGGATAGGTATTGTCAAGCAATACATTGTTTGTGAAACTTCACTATTAACATCTTGTCTAAAATATACCTGTTAGACTTAACGGTAGCATATACATTGCTCGTCTTGCAAAATTATTTAACTTCCAAGGTTTTTTTACTTGCAACTTAACGATAGTTTTAAATGCTAAACTTCTCGGTCCCACAAAACTTCCCCTTCACACCCTAAATTGAAATGACTTGCATTTGTATTAATAACTATTCCCGGCCACACGTTGTGGCTCTGCAACTCTTGTGAGTTTCTATGCCACGGTAACTTTTCTGTCTCCCAGTCCTGTCCCACTATTACCACCTCTCATCCTTGTCTTTCCCACTATTCCCTCACTCCACCATCCCCTCTTGCTGCCACAGTCATCCTGTCCCCCTCTTACTCCCCCACTCCTGTTCCTTGGTCCTTTCCATTCCTCCTCGTCTTTCCCTCCATTCCCCCACTCCCTCGCCCGATGCATTCCCAAATGATCTGATGTTCCTATCGGTGAAAAAAGTTAAACGATAAACAATGGGAAAATAAACCAAAATCAACGGTAAAATAAACCAAAATCAACGGTATGGTAAACGCTGGTCTTTCAATGCAATGTCATACAAAATAATAGAATAAAAATAAATAAATAGATCTCTAAAAATTCAAGTAATCAATGCAATTGCAACCATTGAAATGGAATTGTAACATAATTAGTTTAACTTGTGGAGCACTTGTGAGACAGATGGCGCTGTTTATAGAAGTTTTTACCAGTCACAGATGTGCCATCTATATAGTAGATATATAAACGCACACCTATTCAAATGCAACTGTGAAAATTTAAAAGCAATTCGTAAAGAGGTTTTGAAGATTTCCCTCTCATGAAAGTCTCTTCAAAACTTTTTACGGTAGGATATGATATTTGTGTATAAAAACCTGTTCGGATGCAAATGGATAGTTTTGTGAGAATTTCAAAGCCATTGGTGAAGAAATTTCGGAGATTAGTAGTTTTGAACAAACGATCTTTTCCATTTTTATTTATATAGACTTAATAAATACTCATTACAGATGGCTGCTATAATATTTCTGGTGATGGCGGCGGCAGTGATGCCATCCTGGGCCCAATACTTCGTTAATAACAACGCTGCTCCCGCCATCTTGGGAGCCACTGACAGGCCATTCGTTACATCAAGTGGAAACCTCTTGGTACCTGAAGGCAGCCCCACCCAACCTCAACCCCAGCAACCCTTCACAACTACCAGTCCAACAACCTGTTTGTTCAGCCACAACTGCCAAGCCAGCCTCGGGTCTTTATTCCTCAACAAGTATCTCCACTATTGACTCCCTTTACCTTCCATCCAACTTCATCTTTATGCAACCATGCTGCTAAACCTGTGGGAAATTTTTACCCACCATATCTAATAATCATCTAAGAAATGTATCATTTCTATATCATATCAAAATCATATCTAAATCGTATCAAAATCATATTAGAATCATTAAAGACTCATTATACAGCTTGATCCTGGACGACAGTGTCCACATGAACACGTACGCAACTGGGCCCTTTTGATGCCTACGTGACTTTGTACATGATCTCTCAAGGATCCAGAAGCTTCTAGAAGGGTTGTTAATTAAAAAACTATTGGAACATTTATTCAACATCCGGTAGATTAAAAATCGAATCCTTAATAAGATTCAGTGGTACTTTCAAATACTACTCCCCCTCCCCATCCGGCCCGTTGGCGTCGTGAGGGGGGCTTGGTGGACGGCTGCCGGAGTGTGATGCTCCGTTGGGCAGTCCTCTGTCCTTTTCTGGCCTTGCACTCCTGCTGCTGTCTTCTCCAATTGTGCCGGATCCCTTTTCCTTGTGTTTCGTTTTCTCTCCCCCCTCTTCTATCTGCTTGTCGTTTCCTGCCGACCTTTTGCTTGTTTTGGATTCTTTCTTTGGACTTCTTTTATTTTGACGCCCGGGTGCTTGAGGAGGCATACTCTTGCACCCGTAGAACTGTAGTACCCAACGTCTCGAGCGAGGGGAACCTTTTATTGTCAATCCCCCTTTCGTCGCTGAACCCGATCTCGACGGACTGACGGTTCTCAAGGTGGCGTTTGTGGGGCGTATACTCACGACGCACCCCTAGGGGGGGCCCCGGCATGATCGGCGATAGCTTCCTGTTGGGTGTCGTGCCTCTAGTTGTGGCTCCATGGTGGGTATGGGGGCACATTCGTGGATGAATTTGTCACTTTTCGTCTCTGTCGTTGAATGTTTCCGTTGTACCCTCTCAGGCTCGTGGGGTGGGCGACCAAGCCCCCGAGTCGGCCTGTATTGGAAGACCAGGCTCTGTAGCTCCCGCTGCGTTGGGCCCCGACCTTGCTCCTCCTTTGACCGTCCTGACTTCTTCCCCCAGCTCCCCTCCCTCCTCTGAGGTTGGGTCGAGCCTCCAGCCCCCGGTGGTGACCACTTCGTCCCCTGGTGTGGCTAAGTCTTTCGTTGTGACTACTGCGCCTTTTGACCCCCCTCTCTCTCTCTCTAGGGGTTCTCGACGCCGTTCGCGCCCCAACCGCACTCGCTCGATTCCTTCTCGTGCCGATGCGTATCAGGCCTTGTTTGGTCCTGCTTCATGGGCCAAATACTTTGATCTCCTCCCTCTTGATTCTGCGCCTCCTGACGATTTCTCCCTCCATCGGCATCTTGTAGATTCCGTGGATGCATCTGTTACTTTCAACCCCACTCGTCTCGGTACACGTGTCGTTGCTGCTCATTCTCAGGATGCGGCTTCCCGCTTGGCTGCCTTATCTTGCCTTGGCGAGATCCCTGTTCGGGTCTCCAAGAACGTTCAGATGAATGCCAGTGTTGGCACTATTCTCCTCCCACCCCATGTTGCAACCGGTGTTCGGAATCTGCAGGATTGCCACGATGATATTCGGCATATCCTTGATGCCCAAGGCCATTCTGTCCTCCAGGTTGACTCGTTTACTCGTCCCCCTCGTGGTCGTCGCCGTCAACCCCTTCGCGTTGTGAAGATCACCTTTGATGGTAGGACCCTTCCATCCTCTGTCATTCTTGCTGGTGCTAGGTGCTCTGTCCAGGAGTATATTCCTTCTCCTCGACTTTGTAACAAGTGCTGGAGGTTCGGGCATGGTGCCCTCCGCTGCTCTGGGACTGTCTCTCTCTCTCTGTCCTTTGTGTGGGAGTGAAGGTCACTCTAAGTCTGAGTGCACTTCTCCCCAGGCTCGTTGCCTCAACTGCGGTGAGGCCCATCCTACCTTCTCCCGTGCGTGTGTCCATTACAAGCTTGAGGCAGCCGTCCTCGACTTGAAGCACCGGGAGCGTTTATCTTTTCCTGAGGCGAGGCGCCAGGTTCGCCGGCTCCCGCCTTTTGCTAATCTCTTATGCTCGCGTGTTGCGCTCTTCCTCTCCTCGTCCTTCCCGCCTTCCTCAGACTCGCAACCGTTTCCGGGCCTTGGACCCTGATGCGCCCACTGCCCCCTCCTTTGTTCCTTTGGGTTCTCTCCCGAAGGATCCTCCTCCTGGTCCTCTGTCTGGGGTTCCCCTTCCTTCTACCCGGTCTGTCGTGTCTCCTGTGTCTTCTTCCTCGTCCCCCTCCGATCCTCCTTCCCATCCTCTTCCTCCATCTATCGGCTCTCGTCACCGCCTGTCGGTGCGGGCGGATGTCCATCGCTCTCCTAACGGCCGTCGTGTGTGCTCTCGTTCGGCTTCTCCTGTTGAGACACTGGAATCCGTTGCCCGGTACGTAGTTGCTGGGACACCGGTCTCTTTAAGTCGGAAGCGAAAGCCTGGCTCCTCTTCCCCGGCGGGTAAGAAGGCTTCGCTTTCTTCCTCAGCTCCTACTTCTGGCTCTGTTGCTCCTTCCCCTCCCGTTTCAGTGATTGCGCCCCCTGTTCCTGCTTTGGGGGTTTCTTTGGCCCCTGCTTCCCTTTCGGTTGCTGCTCTTGCTGAGGTGCACTCCCCTCTTTCTACTCCCCCTCTTCCTGCTGCTGTCCTTGACTGCTCCTCTCCGTTGTCTCCTCCTCCTCCGGACCCCGCCCGCCCACCTCTTATCTGTTCTCCCGTTTCCTTCCCTCCGTCTTTGCTCAGTTTACCCATGCCCCCTAACCCTGACTTTGCTGACCCTGATATTCTTTAACGTGCTCTGTTGCTCTTTCGCCTTTGTTTCTTCCTTGTTCTGTTTTTGTCCTTTCTCTTCTCGTCGTTGTCCATTCTTCAATGGAACGTTCGAGGTTATTAGGCCAATTTCCTCGAACTCCAACTTCTGATTTCGCGGTTTTCGCCCCTTTGTCTCCAGAAGCCAATGCTTGGTGCTCGTCCTGGTCGTTTTCGTGGCTATTCCTGTCTCTCCCCCCCCCCCCCCCAGCCATTGCTGGGGCTTCTAATTCTTCTGCTCTCTTGATTCGTGCCGATGTTCCCTTTTCCTTTGCTTTTTCCTTCGCCTCTCTATTGTTCTGCTGCTCGTATGTTTGTGGGGAAATGGTACACAATTTGTTCCATTTATCTCCCCTCGAGTGTCCCGCTCTCTCTTCCTGATTTGAAACACCTCCTAGACTCCTTGCCGAATCTGTGCTCCTGCTGGGTGACTTCAATTGTCGTCATTCTCTTTGGGGTGACGTTCTGACGAATACCGGGGGTCACCTCCTTGAACCGTTTCTCCTCTCTTCTTCCCTGTCTCTTCTGAATTCTGGTGAGCCCACTCATTTGGACTCTCGGACTCGCACCCTTTCTTGTCTTGTTTTGATCTTTCTCTCTGCTCTTCTTCTCTTTACTTAGATTTCACGTGGCAGGTTCTTGATGACCTCCATGGAAGTGATCATTTCCCCATCCTTGTTTCCTTTTTCTCTTTTCGCCCTTCCCTCTCTTTCCCTAGGTGGCAGTTTCCTAAGGCAGACTGGACCCTATTTACCCTCAGTGCTGCTCTCCCTGACCTCTCCCTTCTGCCCCTCTCTCGCGCTCTCCTCCTTTTTCATGACACTGTCTTTAACACTGCCCTCCGCTCTATTCCTCGCTCTTCCTCTCGGGGTCCACGGAAGTGCGTTCCCTGGTGGAATGCGGACTGTGCTCGGGCTGTCCGCTGTAAGCGTGCAGCCTGGAAGAGGCACCGCCGTAGGCAGACGACCGATTCTTTTCTTTTCTTTCGGAAAGCGAGTGCGGTGGCCTGTAGGGCCATCCGTACGGCTAAACGTGAATGTTGGGCATCTTATGTCTCAACAATTACGTCCGAGACCCCTCTGGCCCAGATCTGGAAGCGTATCCGCAAGATAGCGGGTAAGTTCGTTCCCGATGTTTCACTGGTCCTTCACCTCCATGATACTCTTGTGGCGGACCCGTTGCAGGTCGCTTCCGAACTGGGTTCCCACTTTTCTTCTGTTAGCTCTGGTCTTCATCTTCCCCGATCTTTCCTTCTTCGTAAACCTGTCCTTGAGTCTCGTCCTTTAGATTTCTGCACTCATCTTCAGCTTCCCTATAATGATCCCTTCTCTCTCTCTGAACTTCGTTCTGCCCTGGCCCTCTGCGGTTCTACGGCGGCGGGCTCCGATGGTATTCATTGAGATGCTTCGCCATCTCCCTCCGAGCACGTCTCAGTATTTACTGAGTCTGTATAATCGGATCTGGGAGTCGTCGTCAGTCCCTGAGGACTGGCTCGATGCCGTTGTCCTCCCTGTTCGCAAACCGGGGTCTCTGGGTACTTCCCCTAAGGACTTTCGCCCTATTGCTCTCACAAGTTGTGTCTGCAAACTCTTTGAACGTATGGTTAACGTTCGTCTGATGTGGTTCCTGGAACGCCATCACCTCCTCTCCCCTTCTCAATTTGGTTTCCGCAAGTGCCTCAGCACGACAGATGTCCTGGTGAACTTGGAGGTCTATATTCGTACTGCTTTTGCTGCGAAGACCTCCGTTGTTGCCGTCCTTTTTGACCTGGAAAAGGCTTACGACACCACTTGGCGTTATCATATCCTATCTCAACTTCATTTTTTTGGCCTTCGTGGTCATCTCCCTCTCTTTCTCCGCAGCTTCCTCTCTCGTCGTTCCTTTCGGGTGCGCCTTGGTACCGCTCTCTCTCCCTCTTTTCAGCAATACGAAGGTGTGCACCAGGGTAGTGTTCTGAGCACTACTCTTTTTCTGGTTGCCCTCAATGGTCTTCTTTCCTCTCTTCCTTCTGGTGTCTTCTCCGCTCTCTATGTCGATGATCTTGCCCTTTGTTGTCAGGATGA